TCAAACCACAGCATCTTGAGCTTGAGGGCTTTGTTTAAGCAGGCACTTAAACAACTGAGCTAATGGGCAGGCCCCCTTTATTTCACTTTTGAACCTTTAAAACCTACTTTGAATGATGAGGCATGCATTTTAAGATACTTTTGTTCCTGTATATATGTGTGTAGATAGATAGCTTTTTTTAGTGCATTTGTTACAGGGTCTGACTCCGAGCTTGGACTCATAGTGATCCTTTTATTTTCAGCCTCCCTGGCGCCAGAATTACAGACATGCACCGGCTCAGTGCACCTGGGGGTGGGGCCAGTGCAGCATGTAGGAAAATTTTGGTTTTTATACCTAAATCCACTACATATTTGTGCTGTTGTCTTTTTAAAATTACCTAACAAATATGGCATTACATACAATATGAATACGATTGAACCTTTATGAAATACTTATGAGATATAGGAAGTCACTGGCTGGATTAGGAAGATCTGGATTGATTCAGTCCTTGCTTTTTGTGACCGAAGGCAAATTTATTTGACTGCTGTACTTCCCTCTTTCCTCACTAGTTAAGTTGGAAACATTAATGTACCTGCTTCCCAGGGTTGTTTGTGAATTAAGGTGAGAACTCCTTTTGATACCACCCACCACAAGGTACTCAAATTTATGTAGCTATAGAGGTATCAGTTTACTTATTTTGGTTACAAGAATGAGTCATGATGAACTGTTAGGAACTCTACATCTAGTAGGTACTTGAGCGTTTGTGACATGCCAGGATGTGGCAAGCTCTGAAGTTCCAGATGTATGAGATGTATTTGGTTAGTCAATTGAAAAAACAAGCTTGCAGATAATTATAATGGAAATGCAGAAGAGAGACTCCAGGACATAAGCCTGTTTCTGTATTGCTCAGAGAAAGAAGGCTGAACATTCATTTAGCAAAGGACACACTTGAAATCTTTTTGACATCTTTGCTGGAAAAGGCTGTCTTTTCCAATGTCCTCCTGCTGTGGCTTAGCGTTTTTCAGTGGGGTGCTGCAGTTCTCACTATTCTCCTGGGGCGGGATGGACACATAGCTTTATTCGGCACTGGTCTGAGTCTGCCCTACCAGAAGATGGGAAGCAAGCTCTTTTAAGGAAAAATGAACCATAAGATGGTTTTGGGGTGGAGGATGTTCCAGTGAATATTAAGTCCAAGTCAGCAGGATTTCAGTGCAGGCACATCTCCTTGGTGCAGGTGTAAATAGCTTACATAGCTGCTGGTCATGACCAGCACCAGCACATGGCCACTATTGAGTATTTTGGTATAAATGTCTAGTGCCACAAGGGCTGGCAGGAGACTAAGCAGCTGAGGACTTCTGTGTGGGTAAGGCCTGAGGACTGCAGCGCCCGAGTATAAGGGTATGTTCAGAGATCTTTCTGTGACTCTCATCTTTTGTCTTAGGTGAGCCTCTCTGAACTGGTGACAAGATAGTTTTTCAGATGTTTCTGTACTTATATGAGACTCTTTCCTTCTTTAGCAAAGATTTGACAAGGGCTTTTCTCTTTACCCTGTCATAAATTATTATTGTGGTGATTTTCAGAGCCTCAGTGCAGATGCAAATACAAATACTGTTTCTGCGGTGGTCCCAAGAGAGCCCTCAGTGCCGGTTTCCTGTGCTGTATCAGCAACATATGAACGACCCCCTTCCCCAGCCCGTGTTCCTGAGTGAGTATTGATGCTCTCACTCTACCAACACTCGACTAGTTACAAATCTGACGTATAATGTTGCACAAGGTTCTCATACTGGGTGGCATTTTTATAGGGATCCTAAGGTGGTAGAAAAACAGAGGGAAATCCAGAGTGTCGACAGACTCCCTTCTGCCGTTACTACAACCACATGTAAATCGGTGCAGGTGAACGGAGCTTCCACGGTAAGTATCTTGTGCTTTCCCTCCTCTGCAGCAGTCCCTGAGGTTCTGATATGGTAAAAAGATACAGGACTATCCTTATGCATTAGCTCATTTTCTTTTTAATGCAAATCTAATTTGATGGGGTCTGAGTTTTGTCTGTGAATATTGTATTTTCTGTACCAAATGCCTTTAATATTTTCTAATAATTTTTCATCAACTACTCTTGATTATTTTGCTGTACCACAGCCATGGAATCTTTCTACTTCAGTGTGAGTGGATAATGATTTCTTAATTAGTAACAATATCTCAACTTCTATTCTTCCATAGAATTTGTGATCCCTTGAGCATTTATTCTAAACTTGTGTTACTTGTTTTAACATAAAATTTAGAAGAACAGCTGAAAAGGAGAAAGATGGGTAACCTCTTACCCTGTGAGTCCAGTGGGTCTGAATCCCAGTGACTCTTCCTATCTGGTAGTTTTTGTCTTTGTTAAATGTAGCTTCTCTGGCTCTGATTTGTGTGATCTCTAATTTGATGTTGGGTGAGGTGATATCATTAAGATTTAGGAAGTAAGCCGTTACCCATAGGTTGAGTCTGAACTAAGATAATCGTACAGCTTTAGTGTACTAACTTTATAAGTGGTTTTTGTTGAATTTTTTTTTTCCTCTTTAGCTCCTTGTACCTGAAACCCTATTAAACTTCATTTTGAAGTTTTGCCTTCACTGTTTTTAAGCACAAACTTCCAGTCCTCTGTAGTTTGAAAAGAGTTTTTTTGTTTTTCTTTAAATAATGCTTGGCAGCTTGTTGCTTTTTCCCTCTTGTGAGCACTTTGCACTGTCTCATGTTAAAGAAAGCAGTGTTTGTCTTCCTGGGTGCATCTTGGCAAGGGGGTGAGGGTCTTAGGCTTCCATATTGCCCAAGAATGCTTAAAGGCTGCATGTCAGATCAGTTCGGTCAGCACCTATATCTTTTCTAACTTTAGCCATTTTAAAAAACTATTTCTAGAGCATCCTGGTGGGAAAATTGTATTGCAGTGAAGCCAAATCATTGATTTTTATGAACTTTTAAAAGTAAAATCTCCTGAAGATGGAAATTTACTTACAATTAAATCTTTGCTCATTTTGGTCTTAATTTCCCATGTCACCCCTGGAGACGCCATTTGCGTATATAATCGCATGTTTGTTTCTAGGAATTACGAAAGCCCAGTTATGCAGAGATTTGTCAGAGAACAAGTAAAGAGCCTCCTTCCTCCCCATTGCAACCACAAAAGGAACAGAAGCCAAACACTGTCAGTTGTGGGAAGGAGGAAAAGAAGCTTGCTGAGCCCGTGGAGAGATACAGGGAGCCCCCTAACCTCAAGTCCACTCCTGGAGCCCCGAAAGATCAGAGGAGGCAGCCTGGGCGCCGAACCTCACCACCAGCTGTTGCGAAGCGTCTCAACAGAGAACAGAACACTCCCCCAAAGTCTCCTCAGTGAAAGCCGTATGCCTGGGAGGGGTCACAAAGAGCTATATTAACCACAAAAAAACAAACAAAAAAAAAAAACCTTCCCACTCAGTACAAGAATGAGTTGCTGGTTAGGAGCTTGCAGTGTTTGAGGCCCATGGGATGCCTGCAAGTTATTTTTCTGTGAATCAGATTTTCCCCCTCTTGAGAAAAATCTATTTTTCAGGATTTAATTAATATAAACCTTATTTTAGGTTGGTGCTTAACCGGAGGTGATGCATAAATCTGATTTTTTTTCAGGATAGAAAATGCATTTATCTTAACAAATTGATATTTTTTATTAAGCCTCCATGTGGCTCTGAATGCAAGCTATACATAGTGAGTTTTTCTAAATTAAAGGAACTATGCTACATCTTTTTTTCTTTTTCTTTAATAACTGGTCTGCAAATGCATATCTGCAGGTATCCCACCAGTTGGCTGAAGGCTGACGGTGCTGACTGGGCCACCTCAGCCTTACAGAGGAAGAGCCTGGCAGTGTTAAGGCACCACACACTGGCATGGGAGCTATGTTCTAAGCCGTTAGCAGGGCTTATATATAGTCATTTTTTGATCCTGGTAGACAGAATGAGCCTGTGGAGAGGATCCTAGAAAGATCAGATACCTTTGAATTTTGATGTACTGCAAGCAAGTAACCAGCTTCTCACTCCAGTTTCAAGTGGCTGTTATGTAAAATAAATTCAAAGCACATTGTGAATAGAACTTAAATGAAAATACAAACTTTGTTGCCCATTGACATTTTACCACAAAGTTAAACCACCATGTTACAATGTTGTTTTGATCCCTGCGAGCTGGCTGCCCGGCTCCCAGCCTGGGGTGCCTGCTTGTGGCACATTTCTGTCCGTGTCCACCGCCCCTACCCCATCCCAGCACTCTCAGAGAGTCCACATCTTAGTCAGCTCAGTGTGGAGTCTTCCTGTACCTCTGCGTCAGCACGTGGATTGCAAAGTATGCAGCCAGGAGAGAATGACGTGTGCGGGTTTTCTCCCGCTTTGGCTGGTGGAGGACAGAAATTCCTGCTCTTTTACCTCTGAAGACGAGGGTCTCATTGATTCACTTCTAGAAGTGCTGTGCTTCTGAAGAAAGAGTGCACTAAAGCTAGCAAGTTTGTAATAAAGTGAAATATAAATTATTTTGTTTTAAAATGCCTAAAATTTTTCTTTTTAAGTATTCTAAGCAGCAGACATGAAAATATTTCCTGCTAAATATAACCATATAGTTTATTCCACAAAATGTTATTTAATAAGACTGAGGGTTTTTTTTAAAAAAATTATTTCCATCCAATATTTAAAGACTTGAATTTTATTTAAACTTGAAAATGACTTTGCCTTAACTTTTGTATAAGACAGCTTAGAGCTCATGGAGACTGGCCCCTGGGTTGGCAGGAGTGGATCAGAATTACTCAGTTCCCGTGTGGATCTCGTGTCGTTAGTTTTGCTGAGTAAGCATACTGTAGTGCAAGAAGAACTAGCAGTAGTTTTTGTAATATACTTAAAGATCTTCAACTGTTGATCTTTTTTCAGATTGTTGAAAAATCCTGTAAATGCAAATAGTCAATACTGTATTAAATATGTGCACTTGGGAGTGTGCTTTGCCTGTACATTTGTAAATAATCAGAACATATTAAAGGTACCCTACAGAGAAAAATCTGATAAAAATTATTGATATATTATAAATGTTGCTGTTCAGCTGGATGTAGATAAACTAAATGTTGTGGTTTGAATATTTTAATTTGTTGAGGTTTTTTTTTTTTTTTTTTTTTT